GGGCTGTTCCGGTCCTGGGCCAGGAACGGCTTGGTCCCCTCCAGGTAGTTCCCACCTCTTCCCACGGTCTCACCCTGGCCGTGGGACCGTCCCTGTCCTCGCCGGAGAGATCTCCCACTCCTCACTGCTGGGTGCTGCCCTGGTCCACGCTCTGCGCCGCAGGAGCTGGCAGCCCTGATGGCCGTGCCCTTGTCCCCCCCCTGTCCCCCTCTCTCCCAGGCAGTTTCAAGGCCACACGGATGGTGCCAGCTGCATCGACATCTCTAACGATGGCACCAAGCTGTGGACAGGGGGGCTGGACAACACGGTGCGGTGCTGGGACCTGCGGGAAGGGCGTCAGCTGCAGCAGCACGACTTCAGCTCCCAGGTAGGGGCTGGGAGCACCCCGGGGCCAGCCAGGACCTGCCCGGCCCCCGCCTGACCCTGTCCTGTGTCCCCCCCCCAGCATCTTCTCCCTGGGGTACTGCCCGACGGGAGAGTGGCTGGCGGTGGGCATGGAGAGCAGCAACGTGGAGATCCTTCACGTGAGCAAACCGGACAAGTACCAGCTGCACCTCCACGAGAGCTGCGTCCTCTCCCTCAAATTCGCCTCCTGCGGTAGGCGAGCGCCGTGTTTTCTGCTGGGGCTGTGTTGACTTTGGACCCGGGGGTGGCTCCGTCGAGCCCCAGATGGGTCCTTCTGGTTCCCCTGCTGTGCTCAGCCCCCCTGAAGGGCGTCCCAAACACTGACCCACTTTGTCTCCTACCCCAGGGAAATGGTTCGTGAGCACGGGGAAGGACAACCTGCTAAACGCCTGGCGGACGCCCTATGGGGCCAGCATCTTTCAGGTGCGGGGGGGGTGTGGGGGTGTGTGTGCATTTTGGCCATTTGGCATTTGCCGGGGGGGTGATGAGGACAGCTCCGGCCGCCAGCGCTGCCCTCACCACCCGCCTCTCTCACATTCAGTCTAAAGAGTCCTCATCGGTGCTGAGCTGCGATATCTCCATCAACGACAAATTCATCGTTACGGGCTCTGGCGACAAGAAGGCCACAGTGTACGAGGTGGTGTACTGAGGCCCCGTCCCTCGCCACCCCTCAGGGACGGGGCCAGCCCCAGCCATCGGGGCTGATGGAGGCCTCCTGGGGCCAGCCCCCCTGCAGCCCTGCTCCCCCCTCTTCCTCCTCTCAGCCGCCAAAACAAGGCCAGGGCACCAGGCCCCCCCCCGCTACCCTCCCCAAGGTCAAGGGGAGAGCAGGAGGGGAGCGCTGGCTGAGGCCAGGCAGCCCCCCCGGGCTGGGCAGGGGGTCTGGGCAGCCTAGGGCCGCTCTGTTGGTCAGGGCTGGGCAAGGCGAGTTTTGCTCCTGAGTTCATGGCGCTCATTTCTGCTGCAGAACAGCTGTAAATTATCGGTAAAGAAATGTATTTAACTGGGTTTTAATCCCTTAGTAATAAAAAGGATCAAAAGTGTGGCTGGGCTGGTGGCGATGCCGGACTGAGGGACACCCATCCCTGGGAGCTGACATTCCCCCCCCCCACCCCCCTGAT